TTTTTTTTTTTTTTTTTTTTTGGATACTGTGGGTATCAAGGGTACTCAGACAAGCAGAAATAATGGCCTCTGGCTAATGATTGAAAAGTAATGTCAAAGAACTGGTAACCCAGACACATGTGGCTTATAACAAATTTCCTTCTTCTCCTTTATTTTCTACTCCAACCAGGAAAAATAATAACACTTACCAAATATGCTGCCATGTCTTGGAGACAGAGAATAATATTATAGGCTGGAAGGGATCTCCAAAGGTCACCTAGACCAATCTCTCACTTAAACCAGGTACAGTTACAGAAGGTTGTTCAGGGCCTTTTCCAGTCAAGTTTTGGCTGTCTCCAAGGATGGAAATTCCACAATGCCTCTTAGAAATCCATGCCAGTGCTAGACCGCCAGCATGGCAAATATTTTTCCTTATATCTAATCAGAATTTTCCATGTTCCAGCTTGTGCCTGTTGCCTCTTTTCTTACTGCTGTGCAGCTCTGAGAAGAGTCCACCTCTGTCTTCTCCATACCCTCCCTTTAGGCAGCTGTGGATACCAATAAGGTCTCCCCCAAGCCTTCTCTTCTCCAGGCTGAAAAGTCCAGGTTCTTTCAGCCTATCTTTGTATGTTGTGTTTTCCAGCCCCCTAATTATCTGGTTTGCTCCAGTATGTTCAAGTCTGTCTTGTAGTGAGTATCCAAAAGTGGACACAACACTTCAGATACATTCTTGCAAGGATCAGATTGAGAAGAAGGGTCTCTCCCTAGGTGTTTGGCCTTTGTTGCTGCAAGGGCACACTGCTGATTCAGCTTGTAGTGCACCAGGACTCCCAAGTCTTTTTCTGCACAGCCGCTTTCCAGTCAGTTGGCCCAGGGTCTCTATTCTTGCATAAGCTTATGACAAACTGGAGGCATTTGCCTTTGGTTATGAGGTTTCTTTAGGCCCATTTCTTAGTACTGTTGCAGTCCCTTGGGATAGCAGCCCTGCCCTACAGTGTATCAGGGTACATCCCTGTTTAACATTGTCTACAAACTTGCTGAGAGTGTCCTATCATCTAGACCACCAGTACTAATCACTGAGGGTGGGACTGGTTGGACTTTGTACCACCCATCACCACTCTGTGAGCCCAGTTTTCCAGGACATTTTCTGCCCACCGCGTGCCATTACCCAGCCCATGTCTCTCCAGTTTGTCTAGAAGGATTTTATGGGAGACTCTGTCAACTACCTTGCTAAAACCACGGTAAACAGAACTTACCATACTTCCTTTGTCTACACAGCAACTTGTTTTGTAGAAGGCAATCAGGTCAGGTTTGGTTTGCCCTTGGATGGTCCATGCTGGCTCTTCCCTGTCTCAAACTGTTCTGCATGTGCCTGGATACTCAAGAAGAAGGGGAAGCTTGGGTAGGTTGGGTTCCATAACCTTCCCAGGGAATGAGGTGAAGCTGTCAGGCTTGTACTTTCCCTAATCCTCCTTGTTTTTCCTGCAGGTATGTGGGACTCACCTTTCTCCAGTCAGTTTTCTTCACATCCCATGATCTCAGAAGTGATGGAGATGATAGAGGGCAGTCTTGCAATGTCAGCCGGCTCCTTCAGCACACCCAGATGGTGAACTTGTGCATGTTCAATGTGCTTATATGTGCCCTAATTTTATCTTCCCTGACTGCAGGTACGGCTTTATTACATAGACTCTGCTCCTTGGCTCAGGGCTTAGGAGTCCTTAGGGAAGACCATTGCACTGAAGTCCTAGGCAAAAAGGCATTGAGTGCCTCAGTCTCATGTCCTTCACCACTGGTGTACCGAGCTCCTTTACCCAGTATCCCATTGGATCCTTCCAGCAAGCTGAAATATGGTCTCCTGGAGTCCAGGGCTGTGAATCTCTTAGGTTTTACATACCATCTCATGGTTGCTGCAGACAGAGTCACACTCAGTTTTCTCATCTTTGACCTGTTCTTCCTTGCTTGCTTGTAACAGGTTCAGCAAAGCATTTCCCATTGTTATCTTGCTGATCACTTGTGCCAAGAAACTGTTATATGCACACTCTAGAAATATCCTGGATTGACTGAGAAAATTTGTCAAATAAATGGGAGATACTGCAGGAAAGATCTCAAATAAAAGTGGAAAACTCATTTTGAAGAATATTGACTAATTCATCACTTTTGATATAGAAGAGAAATTAAAATGTGATGGACCAGTGTCCTTTGGCAGTCTAATTTCATTGTCTTCACAGGAGTCCATCTGGTTTACTGAGAAGAACATCTGACTCTTCCCTCTAAAAATATACTGAAACAATGTGTAAAATTATGTTATAAGCAACATTTTCTGAGTATTTCCTATATATTATGTAATTCTTATTATATATATATATATATATATATATATATATAATAAGTTGGCCCACGTCTTTTTTTTAATCTGACATATTTTAAATTGTGATTATTCATTATGTACCCTGCAGAGAAAAAATTATCTTTAAAAATGTGTTGGTTTTATATGCAGCATAGTCAATGTTTTGTCCTTAGTCCACAGTGAAGAAAGGCTCTTTTTTCCCCCCCCTCTATCTAATAAATGATTTTGATATCCCTGCAGTTTTCATTAAATATGATTAGGAGTGTATGTCAAGAAGATTGACCAGGGATGATTTTGATTCAACTTAAGCTGAAAAGAAAGTCAGTAATGCAAATACTTAGAGATGATAAAGGAAGATCAATTGAATTATAACTTTGGTTGCTCTTGGTTTAGTGAATTAAAATGACCTAGAAAAGAACTTTTCTTAAAGCTGATTCCATTTAAAAGGGTGAGGGGGAATGGCCCACATTATATGTCAGAAATTGGTTTCTGGCTTTTATGGGCATTTTCTCTGTGTGTAAAGGTATAAGATTAGAGACCCTGCAGTCACCTGTGTTTTAACTGGATTTGATAAGACTTTTTTCATACCTCAGAAAGGATGTTTAACCAACAGCTGTATTTGTTTTGAAAGATTCAATTGGATTTAACCTAATCCCAGAAACAGGAAAAAAGAACCTCAGTTTATTAGCTCCTTTGAAGGGAGGCAACTGACTGAATTCTGGAGCGCTTTGCAGTACTTGCATCACCCCAAGGAGCAAAAAAGCTTTAAGCTGAGTCACAATGTTTATTCTATAACAATATGTTCTGATATATTTTGAAATTGATGATCCAAGAAGCCAGACACAATTTATGATTTACAGCACTGTAATGTTGCTATCCATTTACTTCCACTCAGCAAGGAAATATACCCCAAAGTGTTTACTTATATACAAGGAAGAAACTTATTTAACCTTGCAGTCCACAGAATTGTAAATATATTGTGACTGAATACATGGAAATGAAATACAGTGAAACATTTTCTCTCAGCAATTTGTGTCTAAGCACACAACAGAGACTGTGGTGAAACAATAGGTTGTTGTGAATTAACAAATTGTGAAAAAGAGTCTCTCTGATTTCATAATTGAACGGTCTTAAACTTGGTTTTAGCAGTCTAACATAAGACAATTTTTAAATAAACAAAGTATGTATGTATTGTTGCACAGCTCAAAATATTTTGCTATTGCAAGTGTAGCGTGAGGAGGAGGGTACGTAGTCTTTCTAGGCTTAACCTGTGAACAGACAAAAAAATACCTCCCAGAAAGGGATTCCAGTTTAGGTGCTTAAAGTGCATTTGCAGTGCACCATTCTCATGTCTTCAGCATGCTGATTTCTCATAGAGAAGTCTGAGAACCATCAGATGAATGTTTCCTTCTCCTTCCCCAAATGCTTCTCTCCAAGTTTTCAGAGGTCAGTCCTTTTATTTTTTTTTTTTTTTCATCTTCCATCCCATAGTCTATTATCTGAGAGATGAATGGTTGTTGCTAGTGGTGGGATGAATAGTACATCTGTAGTTTGACACCTTCTCCCTGGCTGGGCCTTCATATAGCCTCAAGCACTGTCACTCCCCTACACATCATGTGGTCCTGCTCAGGGATATGTAGGCAACAACAGGTGCATCGCTCAAATAAGTAAATTACAACAGGGCTCTGACAAATATCACAGACTCTGGGACAGGAAGAAGGAGGTCTCAGCTCACTTACTGAATTTCTCACCTCAGTCATACAAATGCTTACCACCATGGATGTTCCAGAAACCCCTCAGCCTTTCTCAGTTATTTTGGACTTTTCCCTTTGGAGAAGGCAGCACGACCCTCAGACATAAAATGCTCTAGGTTTTTTTTTGTTTGTTTGTTTGTTTTTGGGGTTTTTTTTTAGTTTTGTTTTGTTTTGTTTTGTTTTTTTTTTAAGAAAAATTATGTGAAAGAAAGCAAAACAAAACATCACCATATTTACATTTCTGATGATTTAGCAAAAGCATTTGGAGAAGGCATTTTGAGTTTACTGATTTAGAGGATGATAAAAGAACCCCAAACTTCTGAAAGCAACGATCAAGTGGACTGGGAAGGAAACAGAGTGGGGATATAAGAGGGTGGTGGTATGTGAATGACTGGTGGTGTGTGAGCAGGCTTCTGGTTTTTGTGTCTGAGGCTTCCACCTGATCACAGCACTCTGATCTATCTTTGTAAGGAACTCCACTTTTACTATTTTCTGTGTATGTGTGTGTGTGTGCACATGTATGCATGTGCAAGTGATATGTCAGAAAACTTCAAGCTGGACTCGTTGGTGGGTAGGAGAAGTCTGGTTGCAAGATAATGGAGAAACCATGTGTCTGAGCAAGCTCCCAGGGAGCCAAAGGGACTACGAGCTGGATACAGGAATGATCAGATATCTGGGAGCCATATATTGGAGAAATCTGTGAAAGAAGGTCTTCAATAAGCAAAAATCCTTAAAAACAAGATTGGACTATTAACGCTATCTTAAGTTATGTGTCTGTGAATGTACTGTGCTCTGGTTAATCTGTCTGTGATCAGCTGTGACTGTAGAGTGTGCATGTACCTGTTGGGAAATCTTGCCTCTCCTTGCTACTGGTAGGATTTGAGATTGGGGATGGAGACCAGCCTCTTGTCTTGACTGGCCCCACATCCTTCCATTCACTGGCCTCAGCCGTCCTTAATGGTTTGAAATCCCTTTCACTGCTTCTTGTGACCATCCTCTCTCATATTTTCTCTGTGAACCTCTGAGAAGAGTCTAGCTCCACCTTGCCTATAAGCATCCAAGGTGTAGATAAAAATTATTAGCCCCTCCATAGCCTAATTAATTAAATTATTTAAATAAGCAATTATCCTTACAAATAAGAAGACCCCTATAGAGACTGAACATACCCATTTCTCTCAGGTTATCATGGTATATCATACTTTGCAGCCATTTCATCATCTTGGTGGCCCACCGGTGGTTTCGCTTCTGCATTTCAATCTATGGCTTATACTGAGGAGCCTAGAACTGGACCCAATATTCTAGGTGCAGTCTTGAGGGGAATGATCACTTCCTTGGACCTGATGACTATCTTTCTGCTAACACAACCTAGGATGCTGTTGTTCTTTGCTGTGATGATACACTTGTAACATGTTCAGTTTGTCTTCCAGGACTGTCAAGACTTTCTACAAAACCAGCTGGCTTCCAGCCAGTTGGCATCCACTCTGTATTAGAATCATAGAATCACAAAATGGTTTGGGTTGGAAGGGACCTTTAAAAGTCATCTAGTCCAAACCTTCTGCAAGAAGCAGGGTCATCTTCAGGTTGCTCAGAGCCCCATCCAACCTGGCCTTTAATGTTTCCAGGGATGGGACATCTACCACCTCTCTGGGAAAACTGTTCCAGAGTTTCACCACCCTCATCATAAAAAATCTGCCCTCTTTCAGTTTAAAACCATTAGTCCTTGTCCTATTTCTACAGGTCCTATTAAAAATCTGTCTGATCTTTCTTATAATAACTCCTTCAAGTATTGAAGGGCCTCTGTAAGGCACCTTCTCTTCTCCAGGCTGAATAACGTCAAGTCTCTCACAACTTGTCCTCGTAAGAGAGGTGTTCCAGCCCTCTGATCATTTTTGTGGCCTCTGAACCCACTCATGCTATTTCGCACTGTACTGAGGACTCAAGATTTGGACACAGCACTGCAGGTGAGGTCTCATGAGAGCAGAGTAGAAGGGAAGAATCCCCTCCCTCAACCTGCTGGCCAGGCTTCTTCTGATGCAGCCCAGGATATGGTTGTCATTCTGGGCTGCGAGCACACATTGCTGGCTGATGTCCAGCTTTTCATCCACCAGTACCCCCACAGCTTTCTCCACAGGGATGCTCTCAATCCCTTCACCCCTCAATTTACCCCAACCCATGTGCAGGACCTTGCACTTGGCCTTGTTGAACCTCATGAAGTTCACATAGGCCCACTTCTCAAGCTTGCCCAGGTTCCTCTGGATGGCATTCTGTCCCTCAGGCATCAACTGCACCACTCAGCTTGATGTCATCTGCAAATTGATGAGGGTGAACTCAATCCCAGTCTATCTCATTAATAAAGATATTAAACAATACTGGTGCCAATACAGACCCCTGAGGGACATCACTCATACTGTTGCATGGGGTTATACTGTCTCTGATGGTGAACTTCATAAAGCTTGAAATCTCCCAAAGTCCTGCTTATCCAGTTTCTTTATTCTCTCTTCTAAGGCTTCTCAGCCAGCCAAAGTGACACTAATCTCTCACAGCTCCATGAAATATATCTGATTTCTCAGTCTTTCTTCTTCCAGAGCTTTACTCCCTTACAATATCCCTCTCTTGCATGTAATCCTGAGTGAATATTATCTGTAGAAATAAATTTCAGCACTGAAAGCATGAAAAATAGAAAAAAAGTCCATTTTGTCTATGCTTCTGAGGAGCACAGTGTGTTCCACTACAGCTAGAAGATGCAGGAGACCTTCCAAATACTAGTGCATTGAGGAAAGTCTCCATTAAGAGCCACATTAACATTTGTCTTTCTAGGTTTAATGATCCACAGATGATACTGTCCTTAGTAGTCACAATAGTCACCTTTGTTTAGTAAGGCATATTTTATAAAAAATGATTTTCACAAAGACTGTACATTATGAGGCAAGTTTAGATCAACTCTGTTTCTTTTAAGATTTAACTATTGGAATATTCATAGCATGAACTGTTGGAGCATTTATATCATGGTTCAAAGATAGGTTCAGTTTTCATCCTATGTGCATCTTTTAAATTTCTGTGATGATTTAGCATAAAGACAGTGACATACAACAGAATGGCAGACAATCCAGTGGCAACCACCCAAACATTGAAGACTGATATGAATATATTAAAGGCAAATAGTACTTCCACATT